TGTGTGTGTGTGTGTGTGTGTGTGTGTGTGTGTGTGTGTGTGCCATCAAAACGAAATGAGGATTAAGTTAAATTTGGTCAAAATGACCTAATTACATTTTCAGATTCCTGGTTTTAAATGCTATATTTGGATACCTGAATCATTCTGATATCATAAATTCATATATATATAATTTGTCTTGTTGGTTACAATAATACATAAATATTTGGACTATACACTTATTTTATGTCATTTTAGTGAGGAATATTTGATGTCCTTATAAAGAGGAAACCTCAAATTATATTTGAATATTGAGATTTCCCAGCTGAAAAGAAACAAAACTTTGCTAGCTCACAGGGAAAATCTCAAAATTTTAAGGCATTTTTCTTCAAAATCAGGTTTTTTGTTGCTACTGCTCAAAGAAATGCTTAAAGTTTTGTTTTATGATTATATTTCAGACAGTTCATTCAAATGATACATTGATAAGGCATAATATTTTGACAAAATGCAATTTTTGTTAACATTTTAGTCAAAACACTATATTTGCCTATTTCTCCATACACCACTTTTGAACTTAATCCTCGTTTCGATGTGATGGGTCACATATTAGTGCATTAAACAAACTTAAATCTTAACTGGTTTGCAGAGTTAACATTAAATTAACTCTGCTTTTGTTTTCTTCTAAATAAGTCACCTTTTACACCATGTGTTCACACTGTAGTTCATATTTATTGTTCTGCTACATAAATAAGATTTTCTAATTCAGATTTATGTCTTGTCATTCAAACCTCACGATAAGAACAAAACAGATTTTCCAGTCTTCTTGCATTTTCTTGTGTAACCCTTTTGTCACTTGTCCCTTTCCTTGTGTTTCATCAGAGCGGCCCTCTCCTCCCACTGATCCATTGTGCCTGCCTCCAGAATCCAAACGCACCAAAACCAGCGGCGACTCGCCAAACACTGGTGTCAAAGAGGATTAGTACCGGTAGCAGAGCAGCTGTGGTTAAACTTCAGCAGAAAACCATGATGACTGGATCAGTTTGACAGAATTGCATTTGTGCTGATCTTGTATTACAGTCAGTGCTCGTGGTTTTGCTTTTATTTCTGTTTTTTATCTTAAAATGAAAGAGTTAAATCCTTGTCGTATACTTCAGATTTGTGTTAAAGTTTGAGTGCTGTTGTAAAGCTTAAAATACGAGGATAAATCTGAAGCTAACTGCGAACTTCAAGAGCTTGTGGTTTCTGAGGTTTGAACCTATAACATGTGTATTAAATGTTTAGAATGAAATAGTTTGTATCTGCTCACTTTTATATAATGTTTTGTGAACAAATAAAAAAAACTTAAACTTTAGTGTAGGTGTGATGTGTTTAAATTAAAAGTAGAACAAACTGGTTTTCTATTTATATGTTGGAAATTTAAAGCAAAGTCAAATTATCAAAAAAAAAAGGTTCCTCTGGAYGGGTTTTTTAATGAAGCRTTTCGTCTCCAAGAGACTTCTTCAGTCTGAGGAGTTTCAGGTGAGCTCAGCCTTATAAGCTCCGCCTCCATATGGTGGACAAACAGGTTGGTCACATGCAAAAGAGGACCATCAACCAAACAATAGGTCGTTAGTGCCTTGACTGGCTCTATTCATAGAGGGTCATGTGGCCAATCACCTGACTATCACTGTCAGTAGTGGGCACAGTTCCACTAAAGCACTAATAGGGGAACTAATTTTCTGATTAGTGCTTTATAGCTTTTGCTAATTTCTTAATTTATTAGTGGATTAGCACTTGCTAAATTTATAAGCACTAATTTAGTTCTTTAAATGTTATTGATCAACAATATTGTCAACAGCTGAGGGTGAAAGCTGTCAGACGTGTTCATATGTGTGTCACTTATCCACTAGATCAGTGGTTTTCATACTTTTTTTGCTTCCGACCCACAAAATAACAGTTGCAGACACTCGTGACCCCATATATTACTTGTTTACGTAGCAAACTGCTAATAACTGTTAAAAATGAGAATAATAACTATAAACCAACCTAGTAACTATGATACTAATTTTTATTCATTTATGATTATTTAAAAAAATGTAATAATCATGAAAATATTCCATTAGCATTTTTTTTGCATTTAAATTGATGTCTGGAAATGATCATCTGGGGACACTCACTTGATGTTTTGTGACCCACGAAGAGGTCTCGACCACAACTTTGGGAACCACTACACAAGATGAAATATTAACAATATTCTGAACACAGAAAATATTGTCTCATGTTGACTCTGAGGACTGTTCCATGGGTCAGCTGGGATTTTTGTGCTTTAGAATTAGCTTTTGCTAAATTTTTAAGTGTGTTAGTGCTTCAGAATTAGGGGACCTAAATATTAAAGTTAATGCTTTAGGGTTAGTGCAACTAATTTTTAGAGCGCTGCCCACCACTGATCGTTGGAGCCTTGATTCACACCTTTTGCTCACAGGGAGACAACAGGACATGAAGGCCTCCACCTCTGTTTAATGGGTGTTTTTTCTTCACAAAAATGGCTTCCTTTACTCCTCTCTCAAACCAATGTTCCTCCGTCAAGGATGAGGAAAATCTTCATCCCTGAAAGAGTGACCGCTGGCCTGTAGATGAGTGTAAACTGCAGAGTCCTGGCCTGTAGATGAGTGTAAACTGCAGAGTCCTGGCCTGTAGATGAGTGTAAACTGCAGAGTCCTGGCCTGATGATGTCACATGAGAAGATGGAAAAGATGGCAGGTTGGCGTTCCTGAACTGTGACGTCTCAGTTTCGAATGGAGTACGGTTAGAAACTGATGTGTATCACAAACCCACCCACACAGACCAGTATTTGCGTTTTGACTCCCACCACCCTCTGGAACACAAGTTAGGAGTGATCAGGACTCTGTACCACAGAGCAGACAGTGTCCCCACAAACACAGGAGCCAGGGAGAAAGAGAAATCACACACAAGACAGTCTCTGGAGCAGTGTGGTTATCCTAACTGGGCTTTTCTGAAAGCAGACAAGAAACCCAAACAGGATTCCAGCCAACAACCAGCTGAAAATGAAGACTCTAAACCTAGACCCAAACCAGTCGTCATTCCATATGTGGCGGGAGTTTCAGAGAAACTGAGACGTTTTTTCTCTAAACATGACGTCCCAGTGGCTTTCAAACCCCAAAACACGTCACGACAAAGATTAGTTCACCCCAAAGATCCAGTTCCCCAGCAAAAACAAAGTAATATAGTATATGCTGTTAAGTGTCAGGAGGACTGTGATCAGTTATACATTGGGGAAACAAAACAGCCACTGTTCAAAAGAATGAGCCAGCACAGACGAGCTACATCGTCGGGTCAGGACTCTGCAGTTTAAACTCATCTACAGGCCAGCGTTCACTCTTTCAGGGATGAAGATGTTCTCATCCTTGATAGAGAACGTTGGTTTGAGAGAGGAATAAAGGAAGTTGAGGAAGCYCACCATTAAACAGAGGTGGAGGCCTGCGTGTCCAGTAGTCCTCCTCCTACAATGCTGTTATTGCAAGTATGACTCCGCCCCCTGTGAGCAAAAGGTGTGAATCGAGGCCCCGGTGATAGTCAGGTGATTGGCCACATGACCCTCTATGAACAATAGAGCCAATCAAGGCACTAACAACCTATTGTTTGGCTGATGGTCCTCTTTTACATATGACCAACCTGTTTGTCCACCATGTGGAGGCGGAGCTTATAAGGCTGAGTTCACCTGAAACTCCTCGGTCAGAAGACGTCTCTTGGAGGAGAGACGTTTCATTAAAGAACCCGTCCAGAGGACCTACTTATATTTTCATTTTGATTTTTCCACCTGAATTACTGGGATGCATTAGAACAAAGTCAAATKATGCTCAAATTTTAATTCGAGCAACAGCAGCTTATATAAACGTATTACAACACGAAAGTCTAAAATGTCAGAATTTGCATTCATTTTCAGAATTTATACAAGTTTGGATTAATTTACTGTGATCATGCTTGAATCGTTTTGCAAACTGGACTTTTTGTGTCTAAATGGATTTCTGATCCACAAAAAAAAACCTACTCAGAAACAGCTGTTTGCATTTGTGTTTTTTATGGATGCAAACCAAACAATTGTTATGTTGCAGGTCTGTGAAATTATTTGAAAATATTTTTGTGCAGCGTTTAAAGAAATAAATAGCACATCAAGTTCTGTTATTTAAAAAACAGACCATAGATCTGAACCAAAATGGGTAAAAAACTAAGGAGCTATAATAAAAGGTGGCACTCCTCCAATAAAGTCTTCAGACTGGACTGTTAGCAGATATTTCTCACTAAAAACAGATGTCAGCTTCCTGCTGTTTTGCCAAAGGCTTCTTGAAGAATTTGTTAATTATTAAAAACATCTGTTCTGATTAAAGTCTTATCTATGTCAGATGATCATAGCCAGCTCTGAGGATTACAGTTCCACCAAAGGACAACTGGTAGCRTGCAGTGAAGAAAACACTTGTTTTGTTTTTGCAAATTCTGGAGCAAATCAGCCAAAGTCTGGTTTAGCTCCAGACTCTGGCTGGTTTAAACTTTCAAACTAAAAGTAGGCTAAATTTGTTGGATCATTCATTTCAAATTGAAGCTGAGCATGTCATTGTTCCCAGCAGTGTTTTATCCAGGCTTTGTGAAAGGGGTGAGTACAAGGTAATTGTCTGATTTTGTCTTTTTTGTGCATGTAAAATATCAAAACACTCAAAATCTGTTGTTGCTTTGCATTTTAGGAAAAAGAACATTATAGATTTTAAGTGATTTCTTTTTAAAAAGTATTTCCCACAACATGAAATTTAGGATAAATTTTTGGAAAATGTTTCAACCAAACATGTGATAATAACTTGCTAATAGTTGTTATCTAGCTTGAAGTTTAATCCAGAATCWGTTTTTTTTTTTATTGTGCATGCATTTTTTCCCTACTGTCCATTGAGGTTTCAGACAATTTCATCCAAAACTTTAAGGGCATGTTCTAATGTTTGATATCACTTGAATGACGGTTTTGATGAGTTTGAAATCTAAAGACTTTATTTTGTTTTGCTCTCAGACAGAAACACTGGTATGTTTTAATTTATAGGCAGGGTTGCACATAAAAATTTTGGTCTGGTTCTCAGGGGCGAACCTAGGGTTGTTGCTTGGTGCTCACTCATACAGTATTTTCCTTCACTCATTTAACACATTTATCTATAGGGGTGTCCGGGCATCTAACATCCCCCTGTTCTGTTTTATGATTTCTAGCAGCTGCAACATCTCAGGACATCATGCCAAATCAGTCCACCGAGTTTTTATTTTATTCTTTTACTCTGCATAAATTTTGTAAACTACCTACCGTAAGTGTTCGAGGGGCTGGGTGTGTGCCATATAAACATCACAAACTGAACATATCTTTTAGACTAACATGTCCTTCAGATGGACAGCTCCTGTTTGGTCTTCTGCATCTTCAGCCTTGGTTAAACCAGATTTCCACACTCTCCAGACCAAGCAGCAAATATCTGTCTTTTGCACAGAGCAAAAATAACTGAATACATACAAATGTTTTATTTGTCAGACTGATTTCTTTTTAAAAAACTATTTTTTTCAACAATATTATATTATTTAGATGGTTTCAGCTCATGTAATTATTTATTCTTCGTATTTGATTGTTTAATAAATTAC